CTTCCTTCCTTCCTTCCTTCCTTCCTTCCTTCCTTCCTTCCTTCCTTTTTTAAACATAGCAGTAAGCTACCCTGCAGGTCCATTTAGCTGTTGGCTTGACCTGAATTTGCAATTAATACAATTCTCCTTTTAAAGGGCTTTCAGTGGCCCATTTCTTTGAGAAAATTACCGAGTTTTTAGACCTAAGATATTATTTTTTAAAATCTTACTTTGAAATTCTTTTGAAGACCTTTATTTGTATAAAATAAAGAAAGTGAAAACTAGCAAATTTGGATATTTTTTGAAAAAGGTAACTGGATGTTCTAGAACTTCATCATGGTAGTGGGTACATGCCTGTATACTTTGTTCAAACTCATTGAATGGTACATTTAAAATAGTGCATTTTATTACATGATACTGACCAAAATAAAGTTGGTTTAAAGAGGTTATTGGAGTATCCTAGACTCAGGGTCAATGTCTGTATTTGAAGTGTTCCACAAGGTACCTTTCTGCAGGGCCCTGGGAGAGCTGGGACAGACTGCGCCTTGGATTGCGGCTCTGGGATAGGAAGGGTCAGCAAGCATGTCTTGTTGCCGGTTTTCAACAGCATGGAACTGGTGGACATGACAGAATCGTTCCTCCTGGAAGCCCAGAACTACCTGCAGGTCAATGGGGACAAGGTAGAAAGCTACCACTGCCACAGCCTGCAGGAATTTACACCCCCATTGGGCAGATATGATGTCATCTGGATTCAGTGGATCTCTGGTTAGTCCTGCATGGTCTAACATCTGCCTTTCTCCCCTTCCCAGATAGAGAAGACAATACCGGGGGCTAATTTGAGGATTTATGGAGAGGAAGCAAAGACGTAAAAGGAGATATAGTTGTAGTTGTGCTTAGAGCAGTTAGCTAGACTTAGGAATCATAGAAACCCCCAAAGCTCTGGTACTCCCAGTCTCTCCCCTAGGATCCTCTGCTACAAGCCTGAAAGTTCCCATGATGGAATACCTTAGTACCAACTTAACTCTAAGAAGAAAACCAAATACTTGAAAAACTTTAAAAAGTGGAGTCAAAAAAAGTTTATCCCCATTTATTGGCAAAACTAGACTGTCTTAGATTTAAATTTCCAGGAAATGAGGTAGCAATGAATTAGAATTTGGTCTGAGTGTGTGTGTCTAGGACACACAGAGGAGTGATGACAAAATTAGGTTGTCCAGGGACAATGGCAGGGACTCTTGGGCTAGGCAATAGTTTGTTTTGTGCCTGTGAGGTAGATAGACTAGCTAGTTGAATACCTATTTTATAGATGGGACACGGAGCCTCCTCAGAGAGGATACCTGTCCTCTTACTTAAATTCTCAAAGTCCCCTGCAACTAGACCAATTCAGGCTATTAAATAATTCATGAATGAGTGAACAAATGGTCTCCTTATTCTTAGCCTTGTGGTCTTTCTTACCTTCCTACTCTCCTCCCTCCCACCCACCGTTTCATCCTGTTCCCCCATCTACCTGGCCTCATCTGTAGGGTACCTGACTGATAAAGACGTTCTTGCATTTCTTTCCTGGTGTGGAGCTGGCCTGAAAGAAAATGGTGTCATCATACTGAAGGACAATGTGGCCTGCGAGTGCTGTCTCTTCGATCTCTCTGACAGCAGTGTGACTCGGGACATGGACATCCTCTGGAGCCTCATTAGGAAGAGTGGGCTGGTGGTGCTGGGCCAGGAGAAGCAGGACGGCTTTCCAGAGCAGTGCATCCCGGTGTGGATATTTGCATTGCACAGTGATGGACACTTCTGACCGGCAGTGGGAATGTAGGGCTGGACTGCACAGGGTGGTTTGGGACAGAGGTCCTCTTCTCATAATTCATGGGGTATGGAGAGAAGAGATGCAAGGCCTGTCTGGAAATGATTGATGTATTATGTACAAGTTTCCACTAATTTTATAAGGACATGCACACACTCGATGGATTTTCTGGAGGATAAATAGAATGAAACATCAGGAAAAATGTTTTAAGAACTGCTTGTATACACCTAAACTGTACAAGTGTACACAAAAACAGAAAAGGGATCAATGTTCACAAATTCTAAACTGCCTTGGTCTGTGAAGATTTGCATTATGGAGTATCCCAGCATGTGTGGGTTAAAGTCTAGACCCCCTTTCTTTGCCCTCATGCTAGATACATTCAATTTCATTCCTCTTTGGGACTACTACTTTTAGACAAAAATCTCACCCGGATTAAGAAGGCACCAGTCAAAATAATCTTATGAAAACAAATCCATTGCTTAATTTTTTCTTTAGCCTTTCTCTTCCCAGAAAAAGTATATGTGGTTTCACTTTCTATTTTGGGTCAATTTCACCACCGAATGATGTAATATGGATGTAATTTGATAACAGAAGTCTACATTTCAGTGATGAGGAAGTGTCTCCTTTCAGGAGAAAATATTATATGTTGAAATTTCAGCTGTGAACATGTAAGTAAATGTCCTTGATAATCTAATTTTAGCCATTGGCCTCCAACACTTCTTGCTTCATTGCAGCCACTCCTGTTTCTTTATATGAATGTACATTGTAAAGAGAAGGGAAATGATAAACCATGAGAACTAAGCTAACTGGATTAATTTAAGGCATTGATTTAATTAAAAATAATCTAGGGGCACCTGAGTGGCTCAGTTGTTTAAGCATCTAATTCTTTTTTTTTTAAATAATTTTTATTGTTATGTTAATCACCATACATTACATCATTAGTTTTGATGTAGTGTTCCATGATTCATTGTTTGTGCATAACACCCAGTG